AGAGAGCAGACAGAATTTGTCGAGAAATCAGAAAGAGACAAGAAAGCCGAAGCACGTCACGCCGGACAACGGAGATCAACATTTGCGATGGCCGAGAGAGGTACGATTTTATGTCACCGTTTTCTTCCTGTTTTTTGGGGGGGATTTTTTTTCGATGGCAGTTTTTTTTCTCTGCCTCTGGCTCTCTCTCTTTCTCTCTCTCTCTCTCTTTTTTTTTTTTTTTTTTTTTTTTTCTCTCTCTCTCTCTCTCTCTCTCTCTCTCTCTCTCTCTTTTTTTTTTTTTTTTTTTTTCTCTCTCTCTCTCTCTTTCTCTCTTAGCATCTGGTGTTGTTGTTGTTTTTCGTATTTAAATACAAAGGAAGTTAAATACAAATATCTGTGTCCCACCGATGGTCCCCGACACCTTGTCCCACCGGTGGTCCCCGACACTTTGTCCCACCGGTGGTCCCCGATACCTTGTCTCGCTGGTGGTCCCCGACACTTTGTCCCGCCGGTGGTCCCCGGCACCTTGTCCCGCCGGTGGTCCCCGACACATTGTTCCGTCGGTGGTCCCCAAAACTTTGTCTCGCCGGTGGTCCCCCACACCTTGTCCCGCCGGTGGTCCCGGACACTTTTCCTCAAGGCGTCCCATGTTCCTTCCGCGTCTACCGCCTCATGGTGACCCTCTTTCCCTTAGCTTTTCTTGGGTCTTGCACGTGCCGGTTTCTCTGGCCGCGGGGTCTCCAATCCATGGTTTCAGTTAATTGTTATAGGCGGCCCCCTTGTTGGGCCCTTAACTTCTAGCGTCCTACGGCCACCAGGCCGTCCACCCCTCGGCTCCCTTATTCTCTTGTCATCCGTCGCGCCGCACTTGCTAAGCCAATGACCCTTGGGTCCTTGTCATGCCGAGTTCAGGTGGACCCCCCGACCCCACGTTATGTTCCTATGCACCCATGTCATGTTGCTTACTCACTTGCCGTTGCCAGTCTTTACTCTCTGTGGTACTCAGCCAGGGGCATCATTCCTCTCGATGGTCCCGTCCTTTGTTTTTTCTCTCTTATGTCCTCACTCCGGATTTCTCTGTCGTGCACAATTTGGCTATATACAGGCTCTCGAGTGCTTGGATGTTATTCAGGACCCACCGGTCCCGGCACATTCCCTCCACTCATTCACGATGTCCTCATCCCGTACAAGTCCTTTTGTCAGTAGGGGTCTTGGGGGGGGATAGACGGAGGAGAGGAGGAGGGACGTGATGGGTCGTTAGTTTGTCAGGGTCCTTTTTGTTTTTTTCTTGTTTCTTTCCCAGAGTCTTTTCTGGTCTCCATTCCTTGGGGCGGAGAGGGGTATGTAGAGGTCACGCTTTCTTTTTGAGAGTTCCTTCAGGCTTCTTTCGTCTCGTTCATTACTCTTAGAACAACAATTTTTTTTCGTCTCGTTCATCATTCTTAAAACATCAAACTCCTTCTTTCAACTACCCTCCTCTCATTCATCACCCATTGTACATCAAGCCCTTTCCCGTTTCATTTTGAAGCCCACGCTCCTCCTTCGGGCCTAGTTATCCCAACGCCTTCGAATGATCTGCCCTCTGCCCCATGCCGACCAAGTCCCTTTTTCGGCCTTTGTCACCCTCAATGCCAGATCGGCTCTCCGGCCCGCGCAATCCATGCCTCCCGCCGTCCTTTCCTCAATCTCACGCATAACCAATTTTACATGCATTTCTTCCAAGCCATTTTGCCGGCTTTTTCGTAGCTTATTTATTTCACACGCACATCTTCCTTGCCAGATCCGGCCCAATCAATTTCACATGCATCCTTTTTCTGGACATCTTGTCAGACCTTTCTCAAGCCCACGCAAAACAATTTTACATGCATCTTTCTTCTGGACATCTTGCCAGACCTTTCTCAAACCCCAACAAAGTCAATTACACGCGCCTTTCCCCTCTTGACATCTTGTCAGGTTTTTCTCAAGCCTAACCAAAGTCAATTCCACATGCCTTTCACTTCTGGACATCATGCCAGACCTTTCTCAAGCCCAAACAAAGTCAATTTCACATGCCTTTCTCTTCTGGACATCTTGCCAGACCTTTCTCAAGACCATGCAAAGTCAATTACACATGCCTTTATCTTCTGGACATCTTGCCAGACATTTCTCAAGCCCATGCAAAGTCAATTACACATACCTTTCTCTTCTGGACATCTTGCTAGGTCTTTCTCAAGCTCATGCAAAGTCAATTACACATGNTCTTTCTCAAGCTCATGCAAAGTCAATTACACATGTCTTTCTCTTCTGGACATCTTGCCAGGCCTTTCTCAAGCCCATGCAAAGTCAATTACACACGCATTGCTTTTCTGGACATTTTACCAGACCTTTCTCAAACCCATGCAAAGTCAATTACACATTTTCTCTCGAACTCATGGTAGCCTTATCCTTTTGACCGCGGTTCCTTTTATTGCATGTTTTTTCATCAGTAGATGATACGCATTCCCCCCACTCAAAATGTGATGTCCCCATTGCACGACTGATTCTCACTCGGAGGTACGAAGACCTTGGCCCACCAACTGAGTCCAGAACAACGACCCACCTGCTCCTAAAAGGAAGGGTGATCGGTCCTTCCTCGGCTGGTAACACCTCATCCTTCTACTTAGTCCGACCTTTTGTCGCTACGAGACGATGTAATTGACTTTGCATGGGCTTGAGAAAGGCCTAGCAAGATGTCCAGAAGAGAAAGACATGAGTTATTGACTTTGCATGGGCTTGAGAAAGGTCTGGCAAGATGTCCAGAAGAGAAAGACATTTGTAATTGACTTTGCATGGGCTTGAGAAAGGTCTAGCAAGATGTCCAGAAGAGAAAGGCATGTGAAATTGACTTTGTTTGGACTTGAGAAAGGCATGGCATGATGTCCAGAAATGAAAGGCATGTGGAATTGACTTTGCAGGCCTCACATCTGGCAGGTAGGTCAAGTCAAAATCTCCCAGGACCCTGTCTTGCCGTAAAGACTTTTCTCGCGAATTGTTCCTCTCGAGTGGTGTTTTTTTGGATTCGGCTTCTTCCTTTCAAGAGAGTTGGGGCTCTCTATTAGTCTGCGAGTGCAGTTACGAAGACCTCACGGTTAGTCCTACTGATCAAGCAGGACGGTGTCACTCGCCCTGTGGTGGGTGGGGACTCCACCTTGTACCCCGCCCGGCCCCTCCCATAGGACAGTGCCGCTCAAC